TTATAAAGTGACAAGTTGGATTATGGCTAAATATTATCTAAATTTTAAGTATAAATTAATTTTGAATTTATTTTTAAAAAACTATAATCTATCTAATTTTTTAGTGTGGTTTGGTGGGTCAATAGTTCATTACAATTTACAATATTTTAGACATATAGAGTTTATAGACGTATTTTAGAGACTAGTTTTAGCATGTTTTTGTGTGTGATGCAATCTAGTCTATAAAACAGTCGTTTTTTAGACGGGGTAAACCTATAAATTTATTGCGTAATTTACCTAAATAACATATTATAATAAATGATAAATAACTTAAATAAGTATTTGGTATAGATTATGGAAAAATTAGTAACAAATATGGATCAACATGGCAGGATGCTAATTCCATCAGAAATAAGAGCAAGGCTTAATATACAGCCTGGTGATAAAGTTAATCTAGAAGTTTATGAAAATGAGGTAAAAATAATTAGTGCTAACCAAATAATAGATGAAATGTATGCAATCTTTACAAAAAACCAAAATAATAGAAAAGATTCAGTGGTAGATGATTTTATAAACAGAAAGCATGAAGAATACCAAATAGAAGAAAAGAGAAGTATAAAAAATGGCTAATAAAATAGTATTTGATTCCTCTGCTCTTATAATGCTATTTGCCAAAGAACTTGGATATGAATCCATAAGGCAGCATATGAAATATGCAATAATCTCAAGTGTAAATATTGCGGAAGTATATAAATACTGTATTGAAGTGCAAAATTTAACAGAAGATGACTGTAGAAACCTGATGAAACTTTCCGGTATCAAAATCATAGATTTTTGTGAAGAACAAGCGTTAATAACAGCAAAAATAATCAACAAAACAAAACAGTATGGTTTATCCTTAGGAGATAGAGGGTGTATTGCTTTAGCAATGTTCAAAAATTACCCTATACTTACTTGTGATAAGATATGGCAAAAAGTTGACCTTGATATTGAATTCATAATGGCAAGATAATGACTGATATTTTGGGATATGCGCGTGTATCAACGCAACAACAAGATTTAGATTCTCAAAGACATCGTCTTACTAAAGCCGGTGCTATTCGGATTTTTGAAGATGTGATAAGTGGCAAAATCTTTGACAGACCTGGACTAGAAGAGTTAATTGCTTATGCCAGACCAAATGATTTACTTTGTGTAGTAAGGCTTGATCGTTTAGGTCGTAGCCTAAAGGAATTGCTTGAAACTGTAGAATATCTCAAAGAATGCAAGATTGGTTTAATGTCCCTAGAAGAGAAGATAGATACATCTTCTGCTGCAGGAGAATTGGTATTCCATGTATTTGGTGCTATTGCGCATTTTGAAAGAAGATTAATTGCAGAACGTACTAAGGAAGGTATAAACGCTGCGCGACTAAAAGGTAAAATACCTGGTCGTCCTACTTTAGACAAAGAAAAACTCAATTCAGCACTAAAGTTAATTGAATCAGGTCTCTCCCCAACCTCTGCTGCTAAGCAACTCAATATTGGGCGCTCTACAATATATCGTGAGCTTAAATATGCAAGATAAGTAACTTTTTTTAAAGCCACCTATATCTTATTGTACCCAGCTGCCCCTGTTTTTGCTGAACTGCTCTTTGATAATCTGCTGAACTCAACTTTGAAAAATGACATTATTTTAAACAATATTTTTTATTTTGTGTCTACTCTATAGGCCTATCGGCAACATAGCTGCGAAAAAGTCCTATAAGGAATTATACGAACAATGTTGTGCAAACCTTGCTGTACTTGGTGTTTAGTATGTTATGCTCTCTGTGTTTACGATATATTAACGAA